ATCAATTGATCATGAATAATTTATTTCGTATTGTATTGATTAAATTCAATTTTTCTTTGCTGTTTTTTTTGTGTGTATTCAATAGTAATGAATATAAAAGAAACTTTTGTTCGTAATAAAATTGTTTACAATTCGAAACCATCAAATTTATTAAGACATGCAGATGAAACACAAAGAATAGAATTAATTCAATGACAATGTCAATAAGTAACATACCATGCATAAGTAATAGTATACAAAAAGTCTATTCCTAGTTTTTTTTCAATAGAAAGACGCTCAAGAAAATTTTTCATATGAAAACATAGAACTTTTTCTTCGTGTTCGAATCATACATAATTTGTTATTTAAATGAAACGATGCAATAGAAAAGAAAGTCAAATTTTTCATCAGATTCAACAAAACTATACAAAATGCTAATGTCTATACTTTTTTTTCGATAAAAATATTTTGAAATAGAAAACTTTCTCTTCTTTCGAATAGTGTATAATTTATATATGTCACATATTTGTAAATGAAATAAGATGAGCAAAAAAAAAAAAAGGTACACTCATGCAATAAATTTGCAATTTTTATGCAAATTCATTGAAAAATATTTTGTAACAATAGTTAATTCAATTTTTATGAATTTATTAAAATGCTTGTGTAAAACATTGATTTCTTTGACTTGATTAAAAACATTTTCTAAAACGATAGTTAATAGATTTTTTGTTTTTTTTTTCTCATCTTATTTATAAATATGTGAAAAATGTAAATCATACACTATTCGAAAGAACTCTATATTTTTTTAAAAAGAAAATTATGCTATTGAAAATAACAAATTAGATAAAACAAAATAAGATTAATTCATATAACTAGTTGTATATTTTTAATTAAACACTGAAAACTTTTATAATGATGTTGTATGAATTTCGTATTACATAATTTCTAGAACTGCATTTAGTTACACAATTCATTCAACCGAACAAAACTGAATCATTGAATTGAATATTATAATTACGATGATGACATATCATAAAATAAATTTTCTATATTTTTCTTTCGAATTCTTGTAGACATACAGAATCTAATTAACTCTATTGTTGTAATGAGTTTATTTTTTGTTGATTTCTTCAAAGAATCTCATTTCTTATGATAAATATTTCGTCTATGACAAAATTTCTTCACGTAATAGATAAACACAATTTCTTTTTTTTTTTCTTTTTTCAACCCGTGTAGACGTTATGTGAATTATGACGTTTAGTATTTTTATAATTAAATATCACAGATGTTTGGAATTACGGTTTTTCTTTTTTTATCTTGAATATTTTTTATCAGAAACTTAATTAATTTTTTTGTTAGAATAGAATCAAATATTCAATCAGATAGAAAAATAAAATATTTTTTTAAATCATTATTTCTAAGATGTAATAAAAAATTTTTATTCGAATACAAAAAAAAAACTGAATAGTTAACAATAGTATACGTCTTATTTATATTTCTATTCTACAATACCTTCGATTTTCTTTTGTAATTACCAACTACCTGTCTTTGCTATTATGTATAATCATTAATTAAGTATCGCTCGTATATTTTTCTTTTGAATTACTTACTGTCAAGCAAGGAAGGTTTTTATATGATGATTATAAATATTAATGACAGTTTCAGGTATATATCTATATGGATAAATATAAATTTTCATATATACTTTCAATAGGATAGAGAATCATATTGACATTCAACAGAAACAAAAAACAAAACAAAGTAGATATATTTATGTAATTATCGATCAAGGTTAAGATTTTTAATTTAAATAAGAAAAAAAATATGTATATATATTGTTTTTTTGACATTAAGAAGACATAAATCAATTGAAGTAGATTATAGAAATTGCATTTTTTTTTTTTTTTTTTTTTGGGTTTGTTTTTCTATTAAACAGCTGTTTTCTCTCTCTTATTTTCTATACATGACCTCGATAATGCACACTACAATTATATGCATGACGTTAAGCAGACATTTATATTTATGTGTGTGTGCGTGTATGTGCATGCCTGTCGAAGTAATAATAGTTGTTGTGTTAGAATAATAAAAGAGATCGTAGTGCAATTGCTCGAGGGAAGCGTAAATAGACGACAACGAAAGAACAGAGAAATAAAGATGCATGACTCATATATAATGGTCGTGATGGCTTGGCATTTAGCCATCAGCTGTCTTCTATATACAATATATTTCTTTTTAATATATAGATTGTTTATATAATCGAATTTCATCTATTGTCTAAGAAATGATGTCTTTTATTTTTGTATATTATCATTTGGTTTTCTTTCTTTTTTTCCTTAATATAGTCGTTTCATTTAATCATTATATTCAATGACCTAAATATGATAATGTAGATATGTCAGATTTGTCTTAGGTTTTTTTTCCTTACTCTGTGAAAAAGCGGTAGTAACAGACTTGTTTGACGTCGTATTCGATCATAAGGTCGCATAGCAAAGCAAGAAACATAAAGAAAGGAAAAACGCACGCGCGCTCTCGTTCGTGAAACACAAAGAGAGAGAAAGAAAAAAACAAGCGCGCGCTTTTGCTTCGTGTTCGGCAGCTTGCGCTCGCGCGTATGCGAGTAGAAGAAAAAAAATGCGTATAAGAGCACGCAACTGATGGTGGGAAGGAGTATGTGTATAAGTGTAGGGACGAAGCGGGCAATATAGAAGGGTAAAAAAAAGAAGGACATGAAATAGACCAAAAGTGCGCTTTATGTTCACACACCACCATCATCATCATCACAACCAACCACACACGTGTGTTGTTTCAGGCAGAGCGTTTTTTTTTTCTTTTTCTTCTTCTTCTTTATTCTCTTTCTTGCATACTTACTGACGTTGAAATCACACATTGTATATTTTTGTGTCTTTTTTTTTCTTTTTCAGAACATTAAAACAAATTTCAATCATATCGACGTCTTTGTTTTGTTTTGTTTTTTTTTTTTTTTTGTTTAAATTCATGCTATTATATTATAATTTATTCAAGTCATATATATTGATTACAATTATTAGTGAATAATTTTTGTTGTTGCCTTTTTTTTTATTTTATATTTAATCGACATTATTACATATATAAAGGTATTTATTTGAATATGGTAAATTTTTTTTTTTTTTGAATGAATTTATTTTTTTGTTTTATTCATTTGAACATATTCAATAGAGATTATAAACATAGACTAGAATGTAATATCCTTTATTGTTTTTTTTTTTTTCGTATTCTAAAAATAGATATTCTATAGATTCTTTTCTTTATATAAATACATTAATTTCCGATGAAAAGAAGCCTAAAATAAAAAATATAAATTTTAGTTGTATTCGGTTATTTAAGTACAAATCTAACATATAAGATAAATAATATCATTATGATTTATAGAAGAGTTACTTGTGAATGTCTTCTAAATAAATATATATATGTTCATAATATTAACTAGTTTAATTAAATACATGTGAAACAAAAAAGTTTAAAATTTATTCTAGTATTTGTTTTTTTTTTTTTAATTGTTCTTATTAGATATTTTCTTTCTAATTAACTTTTCTTTTTTCTTAAGAATAAGTCTTCTCAGTTAAAAAATATCGTTCTTTTACTCTCATATAATAAATATCATAGAGCACATTGTTTTATAAATCAGTCAGAGAATTTAAAACGACGCAATTCAGTTTAAGTTAATTTTTATCGAAGGAGAACAAAATAAAAAAAAAAAGCATTCCGTGTACTTGGCGTACTCTGTTTTCATTTCTTTTTTTTTTTTTTTCTTTTTGAAACAATCATTTGTTTTAAATAAAGATTAAATATCTACTATAAAAAAAAGCACATGTGTCTGTTGACTCATATTAGTGTACTGTGTAAAGGCTGATAGGTTATCAGCAGTAAGATTTGATCCCTATTTATGAAAGTAAAAAAAGAAGGAACAAACACGTTTATTTGTGCTTGTTACGCGAGAAATCGTATAGGTATGATTGAAAAATAACACGACATGAAAGGAAGAAGTATGAGAAATTTTGTTCTAGTTAGAAATGAAAAAGAAATATGGACTTTAGCACTTGTCTGTTAGTTGATTAAATAATCAGTCTTTATTTTATTCAGACATATTATCTGGAATTTCTTATACGTCATTTTGTTACGTTTTTTTTTTAATACCAGATGTTCCTCTACAACATTTTTATCGCTACGTTACTGTTTTTGTCATTGTCAAAGAATGAACAGAAAATATTTAGATTGTTTTTTAAGATTCATATGTTTTTTTTTTTTTTTTTTTCTTCTTTTTATTATATTAGTAATTCGATTGATTGATGTATGTAATATTATAAAGGTTCTACTTTGTAGAACTCTATGACCTGTTTTATGATTGGCTGTTTTTTTCTTAATAACAATATCGCATGACTGAGTTTGTCACATTTATTAAGAGCACCTTGCTGATGACGAAGCAAGAAACGACATAGTTTCGTAAACAGAAGACAACGTTTAATCGATTATATCATGCGTAAGAATTGTCGAATTAGTAATTACTAATGTGTCTATGTATCTTATTCGATAAATATACGTAGAAAAAGAATTACCATACGGGATACATGTATGAGTCATACACACAACTATTTACATTGGTAGTTGCCAAAATTTTACTTTTTTTTTCTCCTTTTTTTTTACCTTCTTACCGTCATCATCATCGTGTCTTTACAATAGATGCGAACATGCGCATGTTTTCTTCTATCTAATGCTTGACACGTTTACTCTCATGATGATAAGAGTAGAATAAATGATGAAGACGAGACACAATCAAAAGAAGCAGCTGAAAAAGAAATAGAAAAAAAACACACACAAGTCAATAGTGGATTAACTGATTATTTAGATTTTGTTTCTAATCTTATTTTTTTTTTTTTTTGAAAAGTTCACTTTTTTTTTCTAGATTATCGTCGACAAAGTGTATTTGTTTATTAATTTATATTATTTACTTATCCTCGCATATTAGCGAGGTATAGAATGCGAGAATGAGTTTTACATCAGACGAAGTCAATTATCTCATTTATCGATATTTATCGGAATCAGGTATGGTATATAAATTCTTTTTTATTTTTATTTTAGATCATTTCTAAAATGACATTGATGACCTTTTACCGAGTTTTTTTTTTTTTTTATCAAATTGAAGATAAATAGTTAGTAAATGAAGGAAAAACAAATAAATAGAAATCTTGAGAGACGAGTATGCTTATTCATGAAAGTTAAAATCATACAAAAACAAGTACAGAATTGTGTAATAATAAACAATTCATTATTTTACATATATCTATATATATATTGTTTTTTAAGGATGTATATGCATATATTTATAGTATAGAAAAATTTGTTAATATACAATTTGATGTTATCTATCATTTGACCTCTTGTACAGATGACGTCAGTCTATAAATAGTTCTTATTTTGGATGTCGCAATAGTTAGTTAATTGAATTTCTTTTTTGATATCTTTTCCGTCTCTTTCTGCTGTCGCCATTTGACGTTCTCCAGCTGTATACCCCAGCGTACAAGTTGGATTTTTCCTTTCTTTTTCTTCTACTACGGTCTATTGTGTTATTGTCGCATTCGAGAATGTAAATGCTTTCTACCAAAAAAAAAAAAACACAAATAAAATTGAGGTCGTATGACGAACAAACAAACGCCCTTGACAATTATAATTAAGGTGAGAAGTGTTTATTGTTATTTCTCTATATGCAACTATGTCTGTATTGTTATAAGAACATACAATCATACTCTATCAGTATTGACAACTATTCATCAAGATAATAAACATCGTCCAAAAGATAATATGCAGAAAAAGAAAGAAAGAAAGTACTTGAAAGAAAATGTGTAAAAGATAATCATCAAATAAAAAAGATCACATTTAAAAAAAAAAAAAAGGAAAATTAAATTTTATTAAATAAATTTTATTTTTCTTATGTAGGATTTGTTCATTCATCGTATTTGTTTGGTCTTGAAAGTCACATTGTTCAAACATCCATTAATGCTAATATTGTACCACCAGGTGCCCTTCTTTCACTTATACAAAAGGGTCTCTATTATACCGAAGCAGAATTATCTATTGGTGATGTAAGTTACATAAGTCTGAGTATTTTTGATTTTTCATTGTTTTTATTTCACAAAAAAAAAATAAATAAATGTCAACTATGCATAGTATTTAACATAATATCGTGTGGAATTGTTATCAACTTATAATTCTTGTCATAGTTTATCTATGGATATACCCGAAAAGAAAGAAAGAAGAAAGAATATCTTATGTTTCGATTAATGGTTTACGTATAGCACTCCAGTAAAGAAAACCACATGTTTTTGCCATTCTAAACAGATGTCTCTTCTTTCAACACAGAATTGCTTTATTTAGTCTCTTGAATGCTTACTATGTGTTGATTGATCAGATAATACTCTTTTAGCTATTGTCAGAAGATCATTAAGAGATGTTGAAACGACTATTCAAAATCAGAAGTTCTTACTTTTTGTATTATACAGTTTCTTGTCATTGGATAATTAATTGCTAATCATATTTTTGCATACGGTTTTTTTTATTGAATGTTGAACATATTGAAAAATAAAAATTTGGTAAAAAAATTATAAGTTATAATCATTTGTAATTCCTTGTAGAGTTCTACTATCGAAAATTATTAAATTGTTGTATCTTGTTTTGTCTTTAAAGGATGGTCAAGAACGAACATGTGATAATTTAAGTTTAATTGATGCTGTTGTTCCTGAAATCATTGAAAATCGTCGTAAAGAACTTCAGCAACAACAGCAGCAACAACAATTATCATTATCATCATCATCTGGAACAGCTATAAAAAATGAAACTAAACCATCATCAAGAATTACAACAACAACGACAACAGCAAGCACAGTATCAAATACTAATGATAAAGATATTTCACCAATGCATCAACCAACAAATACATCACCACAATCAACAAATCAAACAATATCTGATCGTAATATAGATACATCCACAACACCTAATGGTGCAAATAATTATGGTAGCTTCTTTTTTATTTTCTTTTACATATAATTATCTATTGCATACGAATAAAAATATTTCTTTTTTAACAGGACATACAAATTCGTCATTAACAAGTCAATCACATCATTATCATCCATCATCGTCGTCATCACATACTAACACACTTCAATCCTGCACAACAGGTAATTATGCTCAAATGTCAAATGGAAATGATAATACTACGCATTCATCTTATACTAATAATATCAATCATATAGCAGGTTTAATAAAAAATAAATAAAAACGTTTCACAGAAGAAAATAAAAAGAAATCTTTTCTGTTTTCTAGTACCTAAACCTGAACCAATGGATTATGAAACAATTAATAGTAGTCATCCTCCTCATCATCCTCATTATTCTGGAAATCCAACACCAAATTCTTTATCTGTCCAAACTGGTTCATCAAATACAAATACTAATTTATCTATAAATGGTTCTGTTGAGATACCACCAAATCGTGTTACTGTTTTACGTGGTCATGAATCTGAAGTATTTATATGTGCATGGAATCCAACACATGATTTATTAGCATCAGGTTCAGGTGATTCAACAGCACGTATATGGAATTTACAAGGTACACGTGAACCTGAAATTGTTTTAAGACATTGTATTAGACGTGGTGATACACAAGTACCCAGTAATAAAGATGTTACCAGTTTAGATTGGAATGTAAGTTATTTACAAAAAAAGCAAGCGTTTTTTTATTATTATCTTATCTCATTTTGATTTAAGCCATCTGGGACACAATTAGCTACGGGTAGTTATGATGGTTATGCACGTATATGGTCATCAGATGGAAATTTAGTTAGTACACTTGGTCAACATAAAGGACCAATATTTGCATTAAAATGGAATAAAAAAGGAAATTTTATCCTATCAGCTGGTGTTGATCGTACAACGATAATATGGGATGCAAATTCCGGTCATTGTGAACAACAATTTTCATTTCATACAGCACCAGCACTTGATGTTGATTGGCAATCAGATACAACATTTGCATCATGTTCAACAGATCAAAAAATTCATGTTTGTCGATTAGGTGAATTACGACCTGTTAAAACATTCCATGGACACCAAAATGAAGTTAATGCTATTAAATGGGATCCACAAGGACGTTTACTTGCATCATGTTCTGACGACATGACATTAAAAGTAAGATGCCACCTATTTTAAATTTGAGGAAAAACAAATGTTCTTTTTTAGTGAAGGAAAAATCTTTAAAAGTTAAAATATACCGAAAGCATCAAATAGTTGAGAAAATCGATCTTTTCAATAAAAATATTGAGACTACTGGAATTTGATACTTTTGGGTGGGTATCAATTTTTATAAGTTTTTTCGGGTTTTTTCTTTAAAATCTAACTTTCTCTAAAATTCACAAACAAACACCTTAAATAAAAATATTTTTAAAACATTTAGATCTGGAATATGACAAAAGATACACCTGTTCATAATTTACAAGCACATAATAAAGAAATTTATACAATTAAATGGAGTCCAACTGGTCCAGGAACAATGAATCCAAATGCAACATTACTTTTAGCTAGGTAAAATAACGAGCAACATTATTTCATTTTCAACATATGAGAACTTCGTTTATTATTTTTCGTGGTTTTAGTGCATCATTTGATTCTACTGTACGTTTATGGGATGTTGAACGTGGTGCTTGTCAAAATATACTTGTTAAACATTCAGAACCTGTTTATTCTGTTGCATTTAGTCCTGATGGCCGTCTATTAGCAACTGGTTCATTTGATAAAGCAATTTATATTTGGGATATAGCTGTAAATAATTTTAAATAGAAATTTAACTTTTTTTTTTTATTTTAACGGTTTTTTTTTAGAGAGGAGAAATTGTTCATAGTTATCGAGGTACAGGTGGTATTTTTGAAGTTTGTTGGAACAGTCGAGGTACTCGTGTGGGTGCAAGTGCTTCCGACGGAACAGTAAGTCTAAATTTAACAAATAAGAAAGAATTTTCAATATATATATTCTTTTTTTCCAGGTGTGTGTACTCGATCTACGTAAATAAAAAGAAAAGATTCGAATGAACTATGATTAAACATTAGGTCAATGTGTTGTTGTTTCTTTCTTTCTTTTTTTTCTTTTTTGTTTACTTATACAAAAAACAACAAAAAAAATCCCAAAAGAAAATACTCGTATTGTTGTTATCTGTTGTTTTCTTCTTTTTTTTTATCATCATCCCTCCTGTCAACGACGATCTCATAGAAGAAACAAAAAAAAAACAAAAATGAAATATATGTTAATCTTTTTTTTCTTTCTTCTTTTGTTCATCTTCTTGCACATGTGTATTTTGTTGTTCTCTCTTTTCTCTTTTTTTGCATCTGTCTATGTTGGACTTATTGTCTGTATCTTCTTTTCGTTTCTTTTTCGAAAACTTCAAAGCAGTGATATGTATGTAAGTTTGTGTGTGTGGCTGACTTTATTTCTCTCGGTTTTTACATGCCCTTATGTATATGATGATGAACTTGTGTTCCATTATAAATATTTCATACGAGCATACAGATGACGACAAACAGACAAAAAAAAAGAAAGATTTGTGAATTCTGTAATAATGCTTGTTTTTGTTTTATTTCATCAAAATCTATTCAAACATTGAGAATAATGCTTCGAGATTTGTGATGTTGATTAATCGATTCGAACTTCTGGGAAAAGATATGCTTAGTGGTTTCAATCGATCTAATTCTAGTGTACTCTAACTACTGCAACAAAAATTTACTTGTTGAACAGTATGACAATGATTATGAGTAATTAGAAAGATTTGACAGTAAATGATCATTCAAAAACCTTCATGCAATATATTAAATCAGATAATAGAGAATATTTTATCTTCACTTATTCCTATAATAATTAACCTGTTGATCAGTAATTCTATAGAATACAACTGTACCGATCATTAGGGATGTGGGTACGAAGTGTGAGTCTTGTCATCCCCCAAATCCATACCATCGTGATAACTGTTCGAAAAGGAAACTCTTTAAAGGGCTTATTCAATCTAGTATTTTTTGAAAAAGAGTTAGCACACTTCAACTGAATGTTTGTTTTCTAAACTTTCAACTCGTAAAAGTCACAAAGATGTTCAACTATTGCGGGTGTGACACACTCGATTCTACCCCGTCCGGTTGAATCACCACTGAGTTTATTTCATCATACTACTAAGTCGTTCAGTTAAAATATCTCTAAAGTAAAAATAAATTCATGTATTCTTACCAATAAATTATTCAATAGAAAGGATGTAATACAAATGCTTATTTCTATTCAACATATTTCGCCTATCGTAATACCATTAAGCAATACAATCTACGATAATTTATAAGTCGCACTGGGATAAGTAAGTTAATATTCATCTCTTATCTAATCAATTAGACATTAGACTTGTTTATTAATATGAAATAAATGCGTTTTGGGTGTGGATATGGACTGTGGGTGGACTAGAGACCCCACTATTACATTCTAAAAAGGTTTTAGCTGATGATAAACATAAGAAAATGCTGGTGACACGATATTTCTGTGCTAAATGAAGTTTCTGGTTTTTCTATGTTAAGTTAATACATCTTCTCAAATTTTATTAACTGTTCTGTTGGTGTGAGTGTAGGGATGGAACGAAGGCAACTCGAATCCTAATACCAAAAACCACGTCCCAAAACCCATATCCACTCCAGCAATCACATCTAAATCCCAGATCTACATAGGAACGCATGTCTATAATAACTCAACTGAGACTTCCAGCACTCTAGTAATGCTTCCAACATTCCAGGTAATATGACTAGCAACCCAGCTGTCAGTGTCAGCGTTCTAGTTTTTCATGAAAAACATTCTGTCTTTCAGAACAGATGATGTTCATCAGAGGACTTCCTCATTGAGGTGTTGATTTGAGCATAACTGCTGGAGCAGGTGCCTTAAGATCGAAAGAGCTCTTCGAACAGTTCATTTCATGTGAACTGACCTGTCGAAAAAGATCAGATCAGCTCCCCGCACATTCACACATGAATGATATCTATGCATAAGTGCTAATAAAAGTAGAATAAATTCTATCGATCGGTGAAGTTAATGCTTGTAAACATGACTATGCATTTTTTGATTTATTTTAAAAACATTTTTGTGTTTGAAAATTTATTTCTTATATTGAAGAAACTGATCTAATCGTATATCAATGGATAGATTGGATCTTTCTGTGGGTGTTGGTGAAAATAACTTGAGAGCTATTAGCCCATTGATAAAGATATTGTGGGTGCTAGTGGGTGTATGTAGGCGATTTTAGATAGTTTTACATGTTTCTAGAGAGAAGTATTTTCGGCAGAGTTATTTGGGTACGGCACATATTCGTGTCCGAATGTAGATTATGAAGTTCTATGAATATTAATTAAGACCACTTCGGGAATTTATGTAGACCATAAGAGAGATACTAAGTGTTAGTGTTGAGAGCGGAGGAGGCCTTTTTTGGGTCTTTGTTGACGGTTTATTTTTCCTAGCAGTAGGGCAAAGTAGGTGTTAAGATTAAGATAATCTATATGTGTTTTCACAAGATTAGATGTTTTTGCTGTTAGCAGAAATTGCTAATATGCAACTCAATTTAACAGCATCTTATATTCATACTGTACATATCATTGATGTACTGGACTAATTATAAAAAGACAAATAAGCATGGATAAAAATAATACTCTAGAAAAAATATAAACTTCGAGACTCTTTGTTTTCTATTTGCTATGAGCTTGCTAAGACAAAAAATTTTCATTGAGAACAATGGCGAACTGTACAACTTCCTAGATTTAACATAGACTTGAATTAAACTTGAACATAACGTGACATAAGTATGTAAGACGAGCTTTTTCTTTTCATCTTTTTTGATTTTGAAATCTTCTAAAAATTCAGTTTTATCTTGTCTAAATCTCAACCTTGTCTGACGCATATACATTACAAGAATCATTAGTTAATTTTTCCCATTACAAGTTTTTTTCTATGAGAATTATTTTAAAAATTAATTCACGTATCCAAGATAAAACTTAAGTTTTCATGCCAACTCTATCGATTGTTGTTATGTTCAACTTTACATGAAGTCTTGTTTAATCAAGCAAGTTGCAGAGTTTTTGAGCGTTTTCAACTGAAATCTGATTTATCATGGTAATTTTCAACTAATAAAAGCAAAAAGAAAATTAGGATCTTTAAACTTATTTCCTTTTGCATAGTATGTTTTTGTTCCATCGATATTTTTTTATCTTCAAATTTAACGTCGTCCATAAATGATATGTGAAGTGTAAATTCAGTATGCTAAAAAGTTTCAATGAGTTATATTTCACGTAAAAATAAAAACAGCTGAAAAATATTTTAGCATATGTGTTTCCTTTTATACAAAAATAATCATTTTATGTCGAAACTTAATAGTCCAAGAATTTTAAATATTACTTCGCTTGTTTATAGTAATGCTTTCGAAAATCAGTGTCCAATGCCGATGCAAAATACGTCATTTATTAGTGAATATGACTAGACTCCATCTAGTAAAAAAAACGAAGTATGGGTCATGCCTTGTCAATATAAATGAGAATTAGAATTTATTTTAAAATAAAAGAATATTATTCTATTCTTTTTCACCTGATTCAAAATGACTTCTGCCAAAGTTAAAGGGTGTGAATGTGGGTGTGGGTGGGTGTGGGGTGTGGGCGTGGGTGGGTGTGGGGTGTGGGCGTGGGTGTGTGGATGTGCGTGGGGTGTGGGTTTAGATCGCTAGGAGACCCACACCCACACTCCACACCCATTTGACCCGAATATGTACCATCTCTTTAACTGACAACACAAACATCTCCATGGTAAGTGAGAATGATTCATTATAACTTATTATGATACACATTGATTCTCAAATAGCCAATTAATGCTTATTATGTTTGAAATGCGAATATGATAATATCGTGCTCTGCTCTCGATCGTTTTTCTCTCATTTAGTAACGTCACGAAAAAGAAGAACAGGTGATTTTTCTTTTAGACTATGGTGACAAAACGACAAAATACGTGTCTGCTTGCTTTCGCATATCTCAACTCTGAAATACGACGACTAATTATATGTGCCAGTAGAAAACCGACATTAATTTTTCTTTTCTTTTTACACATAAAAGTCAAAAATTGATTTCAACAGTAGGTAGACACTTGTCTCTATGCATTGAACAGTTTCTATTGAATTAAACTTACACAGGAGATATCAATCTTGATTAGTAGCCGTCGATCCTGAAAGGCTTTAAAAAGTAGACTAAAATTTTGATTGAACCATCAATACATGTTGTAATTGACAAGCTCTGTTGATCTTTCTGATATTCAGTATTTTCAGTTACGGAATACTCAAAATTTATTTGATAAATAAAATTTCTAGCTTATTTGTGATAAAAGTTTTAGGATATTGTATAAATTCATGAATCACTGGAAAAGTCAAAAGTTTCACATTCCACTCATCGTTTTAGCCGAGGACTTAGCATCTGATCGTTCGTTCAGCGACAGCATGCGGCTAGTAGGTGACGAAGTACAGGTTGCGCCCAACGATAATGGATAACAAATGGGTCGTCCACAACATGAATCAACAATACACACCGAAGTTGACGACGGACACAAACTACAATCAGCAAGATCTGCGCAATATGTATTAGAGCACATAAGCCGGTACCATTACGCATTTTGAAACAGTAGCAATTCGAATTAGATGAATAAGTATGTGTAAACGATCCACAGGTTTGACTAGGACAGGATTCTTAAAGAAATGACAATATAAATACATGTGAAAATAGAGAATACAGTACTTTTCTTCAATTACTACCTGCTATACAACGATAATCTGATTCTCGTCGAGATAGGTGTACTTGATTCCACCATTTCGAATTTCTTAGTTCATCTGCAGCTTTATTCCATTCTTTTTTTTCCAAAGCCGCTTTCATTTTAGTAACGTTATTCAATTTTGCACAACCACTGAAGGCTACATCGATTACTGCTGCACGTTTGACCGTTGGTAAATTAGAGACGTAATGATCAGCA